ACTGTGTCGAGGACGACGATCTGTCCGGAAAGGAGAACCCCGTTGGGAAGGAAGGCAGGACGAAACGGGGAGGGGCCGAGGACCCTGCCACACACCCCGCCCCTAGCCTGTACCACGACCCTCAATCCCCAAACAAGCCACAAGCTCCGCACGAAGCCGACGTTGAGGCCGGGATGGAAAGGAGGTCTGGGCAAAGCTGAGACGGGAAGGAGCAGGGGTACGCAGGCGGAGGACAGCTGCCAGCACCCGACATCCCGCCCCTGACCCTCCCGAAGGGCTGTCCGTGCCCGTACCAACCACCATCCCGACCAGAAGTTGAGAGTGGGGCTGGGCGGAGGTAACAACCTGCGGAGGTGAGACGGGATGAAGGGGGAGAAATGCCACAAGGCCCCGGACCCTGCCCACTCCCCCCACCCTCGACCTACACCATGCGCCCCTCTGTGCCGGGCCAGCCGCCAGCTGGGCACTAAGCCCAAGATGGTGCTGAAACGGAAGAGAAAAGCGGATGCAGGGAGGATGGGGGCAAAGGGCGGCGAAAGGGCGAGCAAGCCAGCGTCCCACACCCCGAAGATCAGCCATTCACGTGTGAATGACCCTTCCGCAGGTTCACCTACGGAAACCTTGTTACGACTTCTCCTTCCTCTAAATGATAAGGTTGAATGACTTTCTCACAGCACCCCCAGCAGCAAACCGCCGAGATCACCGCAATCYAGACACTTCACCGGACCATTCAATCGGTAGGAGCGACGGGCGGTGTGTACAAAGGGGAGGGACGTAATCAGCGCGAGCTGATGACTCGCRCTTACTAGGCATTCCTCGTTCAAGATCGATAATTACAACAATCTATCSCCGTCACGATGAACCTTAAGAAGGTTACCCGGGCCTTTCGACCCAGGCAAGCGACTCGTTGGATTCATCAGTGTAGCGYGCGTGCGGCCCAGAACATCTCAGGGCATCAGAGACCTGTTATTGCCTCAAACTTCCATTGGCTAGTCGTCCAACAGTCCCTCTCAGAAGCTGGCCACGAGGAAAGGTCCCCGYGTAGCTATTTAGCAGGCTGAGGTCCCGTTCGTTAACGAAATTAATTAGACAAATCACTCCACCAACTAAGAACGGYCATGCACCACCACCCATAGAATCAAGAAAGAGCTCTCAATCTGTCAATCCTTGCTATGTGTGGACCTGGTGAGTTTCCCCGTGTTGAGTCAAATTAAGCCACAGGCTGCACGCCTGGTGGTGCCCTTCCGTCAATTCCTKTAAGTTTCAGCCTTGCGACCATACACTCCCCGGAACATGTAAACTTTGATTTCTCACAAGGTGCTGGTAGAGTCATCCAATAGACATCGACCAACCCCTAGTAGGCATCGTTTATGGTTGAGACTAGGACGGTATCTGATCGTCTTCGATCCCCCAACTTTCGTTCTTGATTAATGAGAATGTCCTTGGCAAATGCTTTTGCAGAAGTTCGTCATCCATAAATCCAAGAATTTCACMTCTGACAATGGAATACGAATGCCCCCAACCGTCTCTATTAATCRTTACTCCAATCCCGAAGACCAACGAAATAGGACCAGAGTCCTATCGCGATATTCCACGCTTATATGTTCAGAGCACAAGCCTGCTTTGAACACTCTAATTTTTTCAAAGTAACAGTGCCGGCTCTGGATCCCAGCCAATAAAGGCAAGGAACACATACCCGGCAAGAAAGGCGAAAGGGCCGGTACACGCCCGCAAGAGCGGACCAACCCCTCCCACCCAAAATMCAACTACGAGCTTTTTAACTGCAACAACTTAAATATACGCTATTGGAGCTGGAATTACCGCGGCTGCTGSCACCAGACTTGCCCTCCAATGGATCCTCGTTCAAGGAGTTTACGACTGTTCTCATTCCAATTACCGGACTCGAAAGAGCCCAGTATTTTTATTTACTGTCACTACCTCCCTATGTTAGGATTGGGTAATTTACGCGCCGGCTGCCTTCCTTTGATGTGATAGCCATCTCTCAGGCTCCCTCTCCRGAATCGAACCCTAATTCTCCGTTTCCCGTTACCACCATGGTAGGCCTCTATCCTACCATCGAAAGTTGATAGGGCAGAAATTTGAATGGAACATCGCCGGCTCAAAGGCCATGCGATTCGACAAGTCACCATGATTCACCGCAACAACAGGCAAGCCCGGATCGGCCTTTTACCCAATAAATACATCCCTTCCAGAAGTCGGGATATGCTGCACGTATTAGCTCTAGAATTACCACGGTTATCCGAATGGTAAGGAGACCACCAAATAAATGATAACTGATTTATTGAGCCATTCTCAGTTTCCCAGTGCACAGTGTTCACACTTAGACGTGCATGGCTTAGTCTTTGAGACGAGCATATGACTACTGGCAGGATCAACCAGGTAGCGGGTGTGATGAGCAGCCGCAAGCAGCGATGGCCGAAGCGCACGTAGGCACGTCACGCCGGACAGCCTACCAAAAGAACGTCGAACAATCGTGGAACGTGCAATGAGCTGCCGAGACGCCGCAAAGTCCGGCTGTTTGAATTGCAGGTGAACTTCCCTCCTTAGGACATCTCCAACGGCAAGGTACCGCACAATCCAACACAGCCCGCCGCACCC